GGAGTGCAGTAAAAGAATATGCATGAAATTGTTTTCGTTTATATATATCTGAAAAATATAATAATCATAAGTTGAGGGATATGGAAATTTTTTTTTTTTAACAAACGTTTTGGTATCGTACCCTTGGCAGCTTGAGAAATTAGAGGAAAGAAAGAAAAGAGAAGATAAGAAAAATAAATAAAGTGAAATAAAAGAAGAAGAGAAAAGGATGAGAAGGGAAAAAAAATAAAATAAAAAAAGAATAGAAGGAAAGGAAAGAAAAAGGAAAGGAAGAAAAGAAAAAAAAAAATAAAAAAAGAAAAGAAAAGAAAAAGTAAAAAAATAAAAAAAGAGAGAGAGAGAGAGAGAGAGAGAGAGAGAGAGAGAGAGAGAGAGAGAGAGAGAGAGAGAAGAGAGAGAGAGAGAGAATGAAGTGCTTGATTTTCAAAATTCATATTATATCAGAGGAAGTATATATATATTTTTTGTTTTCTGTTTTATTTGTGTATCTATAGATTTATCTATTATCAAATTATCATCATCATCATCACCATCATTATCCAACTTTCATCACCACTATCACTATCATCACCATTATCATTATTATATCACCAACATGATGAATGATCATAGTCATTATAAATATCATTATCATCAACATCCGTCATCGTCATCATCATCATCATTATCATCATTATCATCATTATCATCATCATCATCATCATCAATTTGCATATACTAAAAAAAATTCTATTAGTTTTTTCTTCTTTTTTATCTTTTTTTCATACTTATTTAATCATGCTTTAGAAGGTGTTGTTTATATAAATGCGTGACGTATTAGAGTGCACAGGATGTAATGAAAATAATTGTAGATCGTAAAAAAACCGTAAAAAATTCATGTGATTACACTTTATATTTTATCTATTTTTCCTTGTTTGTATTGAGACAATAGAAATTCATAGCGATAGCACACACACACACACACACACACACACACACACACACACACACACACACACACACACACACACACACTCACACATACATTTATGTATAAATCCATCTATCTATGTATCTATCAATTTATCTTTCTATCTATTAAATACACCGACCAACATTTAATCCTCGTACATCCGACAGTCGTGACATATCCCCGGACAAATGAATACCACAAAAAATCAAAATAAACAAAACACAAAAAGAATAAAGTTTCATAAGCCTATCTTTCTCGCGTGCCATCTAGCGGCCGCCAGACACACCAAAAAGCGCGCGCCATGATTGCGGGGGAAACAGGACTAAAATTGATCGATGGTTCAGCTTTATCTACGACTAGCAGCCGCTGACGTAGATAACGCGATGAATTATGAACATCGAGAGTACCTATCCGACCACCCACAGCGAATTCTGTTGCTGGACGAGTATTTCGTCGCGAGAAACACTTGTATATGTCGACTTTTATGCGTGGGTCTCACATGCGGGTAGGGTTTAAATATATAAAAAATGATTATAAGCATGTACCCGCGGATGAAAGGAATATATAAATCCTCTCTCTCTCTCCTCTCTCTCTCATCGTTCTCTGTCTTTCTCTCTCTCTCTCTCTCTCTCTCTCTCTCTCTCTCTCTCTCTCTCATCTCTTCTCTCTCTCTCTCTCTCTCTTATCTCTCTCTCTCTCCTCTCTCCTCCATCTCTCTTCTCTCTCTCTCGCTCTCTCTCTGGCTCTCTCTCTCCTTCTCTTCCTTCTTCTCTCTCACCATTCTCATCTCATCCACTCTCTCTCTCACTCACTTCCTCGATCTCCTCACAATGTCTCTCTTGGCTCCCTCAGAACCTCTCTGTCTCTCTCTATCATCTGGGCTCCTCAACCTCAGGTGTTCTTCTCTGCGCGTCTCTAATCATCCCAAGCAGTCTCAGCTCTCCATCCTGCTCCACGCTCTCGCATTCTCTCCCAGTGCTCAGACTTCTCCACCCTCGACGCTCACCTCCACTCTCAGTCCGAACCTCATCCCTGCTCGTCCCGGTCCTCTCGGCCTCCCTCTCCTCTCAGTCTCCGTCTCTTCTCTCCTCCCCTCAAGCTCTCTCCATCCCTCCTCCCTCTCCCCTCTCTCGGCCTCCATTTCTCCTCCTTCTGACTCTCCGCATGCCTCTCTTCATCTCCCCTGCTCCCCTCGGGTCACCCTCTGAACTCGATCCACCGTCATCCTCCGGTCCCCAGTCTCCTCCTCCGTCTCCCCTCGTCCGCTCTCTCCTCTCCCCGCTCTTCTCCTCTCTCCTCCTCTCTTCCTCCTCTCTCTCTTCCTCTGTTCTCCATCTCTCCCGCGCACTCATCTCACCCACCCTCCCGTCACCGCCTGTCTCTTATCTCTCCCCTCCCGTCTTCCTCCTCTCTCACACCCGGCCCCTCCTCCTCGACTTCTCCGCTCTCCCTCACTCTCTCTCATCATCGCCTCGTCCCTCTCGGTAACCGAGCCGCATCCGATCTCGATCCGGACGCGATCCCTCCCCTCGCTCGCTCTCTCGTTCACCCTCTCTCTAATATATAATATATATATATATAATATATTACGTGTGTCACATTAGTATTTTATTCCAGTCATTCAATTTTATGATCAATTGACTCTGAGATTAATATCAGGTGAACTGAATAGCAAGTACCTAAATTCTATTTTGTTCGCACACACACACATGAATACATATACGTTGCATGAGTGAATGTGTGTATTCATATCTATGTCTGTGTCTGTCTATCTAAATATGATTGTGTCAACATATCAATGTATCTATCCATTTATTTATCTACCTATATATCTATCTAACTGTATATTTTCTGT